CAGAATTTTGAGGCGTGGCCAAACCTTCAGCGGGCGGCACTTCCTTTACTGTCTAATGTTTTGCCAGCGGGCAGCAACACAGAATTTTCTGCAGGCGCTCGTCAAATAATCTCTTTCAGGGCGCTGGTCAAATTTTCAGCTCGCGCTCGGACGGTTCTTAAGCAATTTCGGGTGTACGCCGAGCAAAGGTGAGACTCTACATGGCAGAGGAGTCATCGATGGTTTAATTACTCAAGTTTGAGGTACTTTCTCCCAGCGGAAAGTACCTGGGGGCTGCGCGGTCCTCCATAAAGGACCGTGCGGCCCCCGAAAATTTTGCATATTCTCGCGGAAAGTCCGCGAGAATGCGACCACTGCGCCGCAGCTAATCTGCAAGGAAACCGCAATTGTTCTTCAAGCATTCGTTCAAAATTTCGCTAAAATTCTTCCAAATATCTGCAAGCGGACCGCAAGAAATCAGCGAACTATTTTTCCGGTACCCGCTTGACCAAAAATGGCATGGCCGCCTGCCCCGGCGATTATCTGAGTGAGTTTACCAAGTCCTTGTAATCATTCATTCAATAAAAACTGCGGTTTTTTGATTAAGTTCAACACGTAAAAGTACCCAAAATTCCAAAAAGCTGCTTTTTCGAAGCGAATCAAAGCTGGTTATGTTGCATAAATGATGTTTAGTAAGAATTATGTTTCAAAACGCAGAAACTCCAGAGCTTTCATGTGTTTTGTGCAGTTGCGTGTTTCATGACCTCGCCAAAAATCGAGACCTCCGGAGAAATAATTTTTTGAAGCTAAAATCACAGAGTAGGAGAATCCAAAAAAACCATCTTGTAGTCCGAGAGTTGCTCTATTTGATCCATAGTTAATCCTTTTCGAAACTATGTAATGAAACTTTTAAAAATTAGCCCTACTTTGAGCAAGCAATTTAGAATATTTTATTATTGTATCAAACTTCATGTGGACCGCCCTGTATATCTCAATGAATGAGTCGAAAAAGGTCCTTATAAAGTTTTCTTGGCTCTGATATTGGCGGAGTTTCAGCCTTAATATAGGAATTTCACGCGTTCATGCCACAAACTCGATTCTTAACGTTCGCGAAGGGTGGTTGATTAATTACATTCTATATGATGATGCAGTTCCGCAAAAATTGCATTTCTCAGTGATGAATCGCGGCTAGATTTAAATTGCTTTTCATGAAAGTTTTCTATAAGCAGTAGATTGTGCATAACCTGTACATAACCCTAAACCCCACTATCTCTGATAAAAATCAGATTTCACGGCATGAAAGTAACCAGAAAAGTTTTGGGCTATCCGCCATTCAACCAGGTGGTAAAATGGCCAAAATGTACAGGTTCCACTCAGCTTTCAGAAAATGAGACTTGCGATAAAGCCAAAATGCTTGGCACAGCTTATGCACAAAAGTTGATCGGACGGACTGGGTTTTGAAGATTGAGTAACATGGTGTGAAAGCTGATCATTTCTCGTCTAATAGGACCACAGACTGTAGATGTTGCGAATGTTTCACATAAAAGACATAACTATGAGAAAATCTGAGATCATGCACGCCTTAGCGGTCAAAAAATGGGTTCAAAGTGTTCAGCTTTTAGTGCAAAGTTTTCAAATTTTTCCATTATTTTTCTTGCGAAATCAACGAGATTGAAAGCCGTTTCGAGGAATGATGGTGCGCTAGAGTGCATTCTTGTGTTCAGCAATAAATAGCTCCACCTTAAGTGATTTTTACTAGGTTCATTGTTTATTATAATGATAGCTTTGCCTACAGCATGTGTTTGTATGGATCTAATCCAGAACGAGCAAGTCCACTATAATACAAGCAACCAAAAAACAATCTCGAACGGGATATGCACTCGGAATTTCTTGGATTTAAAGGCAGTGTCCGGGCAAAAACTCGATTTTGAGATTTTGTGCTTATACGGGCCTATTCGCCATGCTGAATCCGAAAATCCACATTGAAAAGCGCTAAAACGGCGAAAAAGGGCTCTAATATAGGAGGGAAATCAGCAGGTGGGCGGGGCTTTTCCCAGTGCGATTTCACGCTCCCAGCTCCCGGAGCGATTTTCTCGATTCCGCTAGCCGTTCTAACATCGCTACCGGCCAACTGCGAATGATTGACTTGAAACCGGAAGCGAGAAGGTCGCTCTGGAAGCCGGGAACGTGAATTCGCAGTGGGGGGACCCCGCCCACCTGCTCATTTCTCCCCTGTGTAAGAGCCGTTTTTCGCCATTTTCGCGCTCTACAATGTGCACTTTCGGATTCAGCGTAGCGAATAGGCCCGGGTAAGCACAAAATCTCAAAATCGAATTTTTGCCGGGACAGTGCCTTTAAGTGGGATAAAGATCTTAAGACTCACAGGTGCTGATTCAATAACAAGTTGTACACTTACGCATGATAGCAAAATTTTCGCTATCGACCTCAAATTCACCCATTTTGCGCGTTTTAAATTTTACTTCATTTATTTACGAAGCGACCTTCCAAGACATCTTTCTTTTACAAATCCATCCGTCCAGTTTTTAACGAAGTCTGGTACAATTTTCCTCATTCTGAGAAGCACACTGGCAATTCGTTTTCTTTCGTTTCGCAACATGAGCTGATGCTATCAGCGTCATTCTCGCACAATCATAATACAATTTCCAACCCATCTACAATTTCCAACCCATCTATTCAGCACAAATTCGAATTAAAAAGAACTTTGCAGTTTGTAGAAGAGAATATCTCAAAGATTTTGAAAACAACTCGATTCGGCTTCTGAGAGCATATAATTTTTTTGTTCCATTACATGATTCTATACAATTGCTTCTTTTTTAAAGAAGTAAATATATGTTTCAAACTGCTAGGTAGAATATTCAGTTGGTTAGCTGTGTTGTTTGTCTCTCCGACATCGCTCTTTTTTACCTACAAAAGTGTACGTCGGTCTAACTAGAGATAGCGCAATATTGCTGTTGTAAAATTTATCCTAAAAAGACTTGACAGAAATTTTCTTGTTATCAATTAACTCCAGTGGCGGTCATAATCACGGGTAGTAAACAAAACCTATACACAAAACAATGTAATGACTTTGATAATTTTCTCAAAAAAGGCTTTACTACTTTGAAAATGTCTCTAGCGAGATGTATTCGGTGTCAGCGACAAGGAAGTTCATGTCAACAGCTTTTCTGCGCTCAAATTAGATTTCTAGCATAAACGGTCGGCCTAGATATCGTGGAGAGCACGCTAAAAGCAGCATGCGTTACTTACGCTCGACAAACTCATTTGCACTTGCGTTAGAGCAGTGTTTTTTGTATGCTGGTCTTGAAATGAATTAATTTGCAATGAACAAATTGCTGTACCACATAGACGGTATTACTTGGCACATGTCAAAGCACCACATATGCTGCTTACCATTTCGCCTACACAGCTTACGGAGCGGAGATTGGCTCAACCTGAAGACTATATCAATCTGGCAAAGTTGTAGCTGCAAATTATGCGGACTACTAAGGCCTCATATATCTCGAATGTTTTGAGACACGAATTGGCTTCAAGTGGATTTGCTCGACAATAACATTGAGTTGGTGCCGTTAAAATCCAGAAAGAAAATAGAAGTTTTGTTGCAATTGAATATCTCACAAAAAAACAGTTACTTAGTCAAAGCCTTTCAAGACGGGATGTATATTATTTCGAAAAGCATGGAACACTGATTCCAAATCTGCTCCCTTATCTGTGGAGTTGTTTTGTGCGAGGAGATACGAAGGCTTGTAAAGGCTGCTGCATGACGACGGCGGAGAAGCAGTGTTAGCTGAGCGGCGCTAACGCGACGAGCGCGTAATTCTGCAGATTCTGCGCCTCATGTGCTCTGCGGCTAATAAAGCCGCGTTCTCGCCCAAGATATTACGCCTTCGTCATTATAATCACTATCGATTGTTAACAACAAGTAGGACTCACCCGCCCTTCTCGAGATGTATTATGTGAGCAAAATTTGGTCCGGATCTTATTTTTCGAAAAGGGCAAATTGAAGTCAGCTGACGAAATCCACTTTAACGAAAGTTCGCGCTCCAAGGCGAATCTAGCCGTTTCAGCGTCGTCTGGTTTTATCGTACGTCCTCAAACAGGTTTTGTGTTTTCCCGAGGTTTCATTCTATTTTTTGAATGTTAACAGGCTCCTCAATCTTTAGTGAAGATTTTGTTGCCTTTGAGCGATGTTCCTGCTGCTATGCTCGTTTTTCAGCTCTGATTCCAGGTTAAGCTTGAAGAGACGACTGTTTTTTAATGGTAGTAAGGTCTTTTTTCGATGATTAATATGTCTTGAGGTGTTGTTTCATTGAACTACATGTCAAACAACTCCCCTTATGCATCGTTTTTCCAACCTTTCCTGAAAATAAAGCTAGAGAAGCGAGATAGTATGAAACATAACTGAGCAACAACAAATTCGTCGATTTCGAATAGAAACGCGCTTTGACGCAACAGGCGTGCTTCTAATTCGAATTCGAACTCGTCCATTGGGTGTCTAGTTGGGGTAGGACGACTATGCGACTCCACTCATTCTGCGATATCCGCGACAGCTAGATTGGTTTTGAGAAACTGTTGAAACTCGGACACATCTTTTGTTTATGATAAGACGCTTTCCAATTGTACAAACTTTCTGACTTCTTTTAGCTACTACAGTAGTGCTTCTTCATAAAGTTTTTTCCTTCTGGCAGTCTTGGTAGTAGACCGTACAATTCTGCTTAGGTAAGGACTTGCCCACTAATTTATTTGAGTCGCGAATTAGCTAATTTTTATCCTAGTGTTCTTACCCTCGAGTCTCGTTTTGCCCCTGCGAAAAAACTGAAAATTCAATACTTTATTCGGCTACTAGTGCAGTTATGTAGTACTAGGTGTGAAACTTTTAATCTGTGACCCAAAAATTTTTCCACCACCACAACTTGCTTTTGCTGTCTTGAACATGTTGGTAGAAGCATAAAAAGCTAATACTATCGAAAATATTTGTAAAAAACACAAAGATGTAAATTGTATGCGCAGCGGCGGTGCTTAAGAAAAGTATGACGACAGTATGGGACACAGACTGCACAAAGTGTCTAATTGGGAGCCTTGCAAAGTCCATTACTGCATGAGTTGCTACACGCAGCACAATTTGTACCTATGCGGTAGATGTACTGCGAGTAGATGTTTCCTCTGAAAATTTATTGTTTTACGAGCGTTGTGTTAATCGACAACTTTGGTGCTTACCTGACGTAATAGCGGCAAACGACTATGGTACCATAATTACATTGGCTTACACCACAGCCTACCTTATAAGAAGCAGCCCAAGCCATCTGTAATACTGTAGATGTACAGAAACCAACAAAAGATTCTGAAAATCTCAACAAAATCTAATTCTATGTTATCATTTTCGCCATTTTTTTCACTTTGACATCAATGAAAGTGGATCACTTTCGTTTTTTTTATTGATAATCTCAATTTCTATCGCCAGGTTGGTGCAGATTAAATGATAACCATTATTAGATATAACGTGGATAGAGCTTCTTAATTTAGGACTTTTTAGGACAACTTTTTCCATAAAACTTCCTCATCTAACAATTTTAGCAAACCACTGAGAAGCTCTTTTCGTACTGTATCTAGTGAATGCTGCGATCCTCCTCTTCAAATCACATTTATTTAGCTGAAAATGCTTGCCATATGCTCCTGTAAGAATTGAAATTATTAAGCAACTGCTTATGCGGAGCGAGAAAATCAAAATTTTTGGTACCAACATTTTATCTTGTAGCTAGAGATACTTTGAATATTCTACGATCTTTTGATGCACACATTCAAAGAATAAAGGTTTGTGGATGTTACCTGCGTGACATTGGTCATCTGTCTTCAAAACAAATTTGAAAGCTTAGAAGCGCAGCAAGCACTGAGTCCTAGACAATTTGTTTTTAAAGTCTTATAAAGTATCCAGTTGAGTTCCGCCAACGCAGCAATTTCCGCTTTCCTTCGCGCAATGGCATGCGAATTTCCAATATGCGAGTACACTTACCAAAGTTTTTGGAAGTATATTGTGAACAAAAGCTTGTTCTATTTTGCTGCACATCTGCTTAGTGAAAGAAGCAGTTATCGTGAAGACTTTGGACGAATCTTAGGATTACCGTTTGCGTGCCAGGATAGGTGAACTCGCTACGATTTTGAAGGGCTGCTTTGAAGCCAAAAGAGGTAATTTCAAATTTTGAGAGCTACGCTATATTTGTTAAGGTTTGAATTATATGTGCATCAAACTTTTATTTCTAGTTACTTTATCTGAAAAAGCATAGACTCCTAGCTTTTGATCTACCCTGTAAAAAGCAAACTTATGGCCAGGTAATTCCATAATTCACGTTGAGTCCTACCGAAAATGTTGAAAAAAAAAGACTAAGACTTCGGTTTTTTTCCTTTTCGCAAGTCTTTTTTTGTTCAAGCCTTTTCTATTCTTTGTATTGATGGCTTGCAACTACAAAATAGACTATTCATCAATTAGACTAACAAACTTTGAAAAGATCTGTAATTTGTCAGAAATGAGTTTCAAAAGAATCTTTTTTATTTTTCAATCTAAATTTCTCTACCTTTTTCTGATATGAACACAGATTGATGTGCGCTTTATCGCGAAAGTTTTGTTTCTGCTAGTCTCTACCGCATTCTATACGGATATTTTACATGTAGAAGTATAGATTTTTTTGGAACTATGGTAAGTCAAAGTGAAATTTTGCAAAGCGCTCATAATTTTTGCACCTACATAATACTTTTCTTGGAAAGTAGGTTTGTCCAAAAGTTCCGTCGCAGCATTTTCAAAAAAATCGTAAGTTCCTCCCTTTGCAGTAAATTTGCGCGGCAAAAATACATGTGAAAAGAGTAAATGTTGCGGCTCGGTTGGCTCAGCACCCCCTTGCCTCGCTCGACTGACTGCACAACCCTGCACCTACTGTCCACAAACCTTGGCGCCGGTTAGCTACTCCGGCGCGTCCGACGACGATCCCGATAAGTGGCGACAAACCATGACAACAAACGCGCGGCTAGATTACTTAACTTTATCTAAATAACAACAAACTACACTACACAAACAGCTAAGCTAGAGAATACCTAAAATCTAAAGAGAAAACGATATAGGGGACGAGTCCGCCTCGCCCCAAGCCGTCGATGATCACCAGCCTAATTCCAACACACGATGTCAGGGAGTCCACAAGGGCCGACCGCCTACTCTCGCCTCCGCGTAGGAAAGGTGCGACCCTCTCCACTCCCGGTTCAAACATAAATCAAAGCTCTAACTTTCCTCGCGCGTAGCGCGGCATGATCCAAAAGCTCTAATAATGACTGCTCGCAAGACTTTATCCACGGGAGCTTGCTGGGGTAGCTGCCAAGCACGATCGATAAGAGTACAAGAGAAATCAGACGAATTTGAAAACGAGGTCACCGAAAGTCAAAGAGGTAAATGGCGCGCGTTGCGCGGCCTTATATACCCCTCGACTTGGCAACGCGCCCAAGCAAGGAGAGGTCCGGGCGCGAATGTAAAAGCGCGCCCGATTCGTCGGCATGCAGTGCTCCCGGCACCTGAATCGAGGAGAGGTTTGCATCGCGCGAGCCGCGACAGTAAAGCATACACTTTCAAGTGGCATTTTGACTGCTCTCCATTGTGCTTTTGTCGCAGAGGTAGAAAAGGAACGTCAAAGTCTTTTGAGGTTCGGCGATTTGAGGGTGTGCAATAAAATCCAAAACAGCCTTTGCCTTAGGTTTTTTGACCTCTTCTTTCTATATGAGCAAAGTTTATGCCAATCGAGCTCATTTTTGGAAAGAAGTGCCAAAAATCAGATTTTGTAAAAAATTGGTTTTCTGGCATTTTTCGCAAAAATCATAATTTCCAAAGAAAAGTCCCAAAAGCAGAAAAGCACGAATTTGCTCAGCTAGAAAAAGGAGGAAACTTATGACACTGATTCTTTTGGATCTCATTGCACGGTTTCCAGATTCTTGACGGGCTTGTCTCAGCTCGTTAGACTTTGAAAGATCTTTTTCTTCCATCATGTTTACTCTTCCCAACAAAATTGATGACAAACAGAGACATTATTGCGGCAAGAAAAATTACGATTTGAAAATGGTGCAACAAACCAATCTATTTCTTGCATTACCACAAATATATGGTTGTCTCGCACGTTTTTTTTGTAATCACAATTATCCATATACTTCTCAATCCTAATTACGATGCAGAGTGCTCCTCTGCTCGATAGAGCAAAGCGGACTTTATAATGGCATGAAAGGGCTTCGCACCAACTTTGGCACATCGAGGTTGAAACCGAAATTCTAGCAGTGTCGGATTCCCGAGAAATTTGAAAAATTTTTATATCTTCCCATTCATTCACACTTATACGCTTCACATTATACATTCATTTATGGCGTTGTTGTATCTCAATCTGGGCAAAATAACGAGAACTTTTGTGCTTTTTCCAAAAAGATGCTGTGCCGCTTCCACATAAGTCAATGTATACTACTTTATTTTTCAAAAGTAAAGCCATAAATTTCAGCTTTCTGTAGTCGCCCTCATTCCACTGGCCACTTGGGGTAGATTTGAATTTGAACTAGAATGGTCGGTTGCGGTAGAGCGCGACATCCTCAGCCCTGATTCAAAGGCAGCGGCTCGGCAAAATCACAACTTTGCGATATTAATCGTTCTCGGTCCCCCTGGATGAGCTAAGTCCAAGACTGTGCTTTGCAGCTTCAAAATATTTCAATAACCCGCTATTCCAGACGTGAAAAGTGCTATTTGGGCGGATCGCATAAGCCTGCTTTAGAGCGCGATTGGCTCGTGAGTGGATACCGTACCCATCTTGGTGGCAATTGGATTATTGGTTCCAGCAGACACTTTCGCGATCCCCCCCCCCTCCCTACCCCCAAGCACCACTTTTCATGTCCGAAAAAGTGATTTAATAACATCTTTAAAAGCTGCAAAGCACAGTTTCAGACTCAGCTTACCCAAGGGAGTCAAGAACGATGAATATCAAAAGTTGATGTTTTGTAGAGCCGCTGCCTTTAAGCTTACCCATGTTTTTTCCTGTTTTTCTTATTGTTACCCGCTGTTTCTTATCTCACGAACAATGGTCGTGATGAGTTGACGATTTCTTGTTGATCAGCGATTTTACATATTGCTGTTTTGATCTCAACTTTGTTTCATAAGCTTAAGGGAACGCTAATTAGCAAGAACGGATGTACAAGCAAAAATTTCTAATTTTCATCGTATCTCCAAGTTTACCTGAACTCAGAGTCAAGCAAACAAGCTTAGAAATACGAAACATCGCTCAACAACAATAGAATCGACGGTTCTGAAGAAGCAGCGAAGAGCAAGGGCAGCGTTTGGCAACAAGAAAAACGAAAAAACAAGTGTAAGCTTGAATTTAGGGATAGGGTTTAGGGATTTTGAATACAGCCTGCCTGCTCCATTTTGAATTCAAATTCATCCTGTGATGGTGAGGTGATAGCTCTAGTTTTCGAGGAATGTTGGTTCTAGCATAAGACATTCGAGTAGTTTGGAAGGCCAAACTCGATATTTCTTAAAACACAGAGCTCAGAGCTGAAAATGTATCATTATACTTCTGAAAAGCTTGTTGTATTTATTTACTCATGTAAAAACTGCAATGCTTCGTAAAAGTTTTGGCCCTTTCAATCTTTAGCCTACGAAAAAATACAGCTACGGCATTCATGATTGTAGAGTACCATGAAACGAGTGGCGTGATACAGCACGTTATTTTACGAAGATATGAACTGTTCCGTTTTTGCATCCAAAACTTCTTAGATTTTGGAGGCAGTGACCGGGCAAAAACTCAGTTTTTAGAAAATTCACTTACCGGGGGTTATCCGCAACGCTAAACCTGAAAATCCACATTGAAGGGCGCCAGAACGGCGAGAACATGCGTATTGCATAGCCTGACCGTTCAAAGTTTGACGGTCCTCGCCCAGGCTAAGACGTAGAGTCGCTGCGGGACCCTACGATTTTAATTGTGGCGGCATGCATACTCTGCCGCATAGCAGTCATTCAAACAGATCGGAGAGCCCCGCTCCGAGGGGTTTCTCCGCTTTCCGACCGTTTTCCTTGTTTTAGGTCGAATTACCCCGCACTTGCGTGATGTTGTGTCTTAGGGGGCCACTTTCGCAAAACCCCACCTTGCCCGGACACTGCCTTTAACTTCAAACTCAATTTGATTATTGCGGTGCAACGCTTTACAAGTCATCTCATAGAGCTTGCTTGCTTTATCGTACACTAGCTAGAGATATTAGGTTGGAACGTAAGTCTTGAGACACACTAACTTCTTACGGCGATAAGTCATGCAGTTTACATTTTCAATTAGGGGTCCAGTGACCATTCGATAGAGCAATGCAAACCCTACAAGATGGTTTGCAAAAGTTTGCCCCAGCTTGAGTTCGCCCCAATCCGCTTTAAGTTTGCATCCAAAATTTGAGTCACACTGAAAGCTCAAAAATGGCGAAAAATTCATATCTTTGTCCAAAAAACCCTACGAATCTGCAGCTTCCTCATGAAAATTGCACACGACATCGAACACCCATATGTATTGTTCCTGAATTTCTACCTCATACGGAAATCGAGAGAAATTTTCAAGTTTTCACAAAAACGAAGCTAAGCTGTTTTCACTTATGTAATTGTATACTATAATCCCTTAGAAGTACAACCCAGATTTTCAGCTTTCCATAGGCCTTAGTTTTAAAAAATTATCGAATTTAGCTTTCCTCATTCGGGTGCTTCATAAAGCCAATATTTCTCGAAAATAGGGCTTTTGTAAAGCCCTATTTTCGAGAAATATTGGCTTGAAAATTTACGGCTTCTAAGCGATTGCAGACAATTACATAAGTGAAAACAGCTTCGTTTTGTGAGAACTTTTTTTTGTTTTCTTGATTTCTATGTGAGGAAGAAATCTAGAAACGGTATATACGAGTGTTTGATGTAGTGTGCAATTTTGGTGAGAAAGTTGGAGACTCGTGGGATTTTTTGAACGAAGGTATGGATTTTTCGCGATTCTCTGGGCCTTCAGACGACTCACATTTTAGATGCAAACTTGAAGCGGGTCGAAGTTGGGGCAAACATTTGCAGACTATTTTGCAGGGCTTGCTTTGCTCTATCGAATGGTGCTTGAATCCCTAATGGAAATTCAAACTGCATGATTTATCGCCATAAGAAGTCAGAGTGTCCCAAGACTTATGTCACAACCTAATATTAGGTCGTAACAGAATTAATGCAGGTTTTGAATTCCAACCGCAATAAGTCATACACTTCTCATTTCTAAGTATGTTGCAAAATACCATTCGATAGAGCAAAACAATCTCTACATGGAGGCAATGCTGCTTTAGCAACAACTTTGATCCACCATGAGTTTCGAGCCAAAAACTAAAAAGATTCAACTGTCCGAAAAATTGAGAAAAATCGTAACTCAGTTCATAAAAAACCTACAAAAATTCTAACTTGCTCTCGTAGACACTATTCACATAAAACATCTATACACGCCTTTGCCGTATTTTTTTTTTCTGTTAGAAATCAAGAAAACGGAAATTTTCGTGCGTTTGCCAAAGTGATGCTGTGCCGTTCCCACATAAGTATTTGTATACTACAAACCTGTAGAAGTTTAAACGTGAGTTTCCAGCTCTCTACAAGCTTTAGTTCTCGGAAAATATCGAATACAGTTTTCGCTGGCCATGTGGTCCAAGCTAAAATTCAAATTTCTCGAGAACTAAAGCCTGTAGAGAGCTGAAAATTTACGTTTGTACTTCTACAGCTTTGTAGTATACGACTACTTATGTGGTAACGGCACAGCATCACTTTGGCAAACGCACGAAAATTTCCGTTTTCTTGATTTCTAACAGAGAAAAAAATACGGCAAAGGCGTGTATAGATGTTTTATGTGAATAGTGTTTACGTGAGCAGGTTAGAATTTTTGTAGGTTTTTTATGAACTGAGTTGCGATTTTTCTCAATTTTTTGGATAGTTGAATCTTTTTAGTTTTTGGCTCGAAACTCGTGGTGGATCAGAGTTTTTGCTAAAGCAGGATTGCCACCTTGTAGAGATTGCTTTGCTCTATCGAATGGTATTTTGCAACCTACTTAGAAATGAGAAGTGTATGACTTATTGCGATTGGAATTCAAAACCTGCATTAATTCTGTTACAACCTAATAGTTTGCAAAATAAATTTTGAGACGACCTAATAACGACCTACTGAAATTTTCACACCAGTGATTTTACTCCTGTTTCGTTCTTATGTTTTCTTGGCATGAAGGCTATCAAAGGCTTTTCAACTCGTTTTGGACACTCTATCAGATACGTGATTGGGTCGGAAACAGTAGCTCTACAGATCTTGTAGAAGGGACGATAGCCAATAGCCACAATCTCATCGCCTCAAACCAGCCATTCTCATTGCTTTAATTTCCGCGCTTCATCCCTGGCATTTTGTTCCATATCATGTACAGTTCTTCCTGTCACTTTTTTTACAATGATATTTCCTTCCACATTTAGCTTTCCTCTATGAAGAGTATGAGCAACTCTTTGGCTAGAAATTGTTAACTTTACTGACTGTTCGTTGTTCCTTCGATTCAATACCATTTCGTGAATCTAAAACCGAAACTCATTTTACAAGAACCGGATCAATATTAGAGGAAAAGCTGTGTGTACTGTAGAAGTAGGAGGACTTTAGACGTCATGGATTTGACTTCTTAAAAAACTGAGATCAGTGTTTTGGCAGAAAAGGGTTTGGGAAAGGGTTAGAGAACGGAAAACTGTTACGTTCGCCATTGACAAGCTGAGTTACTTTACATTAGTGTGTTGACATGAGTACTGTTATAAAGACAAGCCATAAGCGGTGAAGTGCGGTAAGCAGGGGACACAAGAAAATGCTAAATTTTGAATACGGTTTACAAGATGGCGAGTTTGTGCACAGTAGTCTGCTTCCGCCTACTCTTGAAGGCTGGAAACGTTCAAAAATTGCTTTTCCGATGTTGTAAATACATGCATCGGCACATTCTTTTTACACATGTAACGTCTACACACTCCCTTGTCAGAAATAATCGAAAGTACTTATTTGAAGGAAATATATGATGAAGGCACTATTGCTCTGAGCGAGAAAACCCTTTGCTGAAAATGAACAAATGTTGAGAAACCAAAGGTAAGACGCACCTGAGTGAAATTTGTGGGAGCATTAACGGATTCTTCTAGTACTTGCGTATACTTGACTGCGGAGTTCAGTGCTTTCTTTGTAATTTCATTCCACCAAGCTTCCAAAGCCTAAATAACCATTCTTCAATATGCTCTCCCAGAACAGAGTTGCTATTTCACCTTTGTCAAAGCATCTGCACAGGATAGACTCTTGTCGTCTAGTATGATTGTGGTTTCTCCGTGGCCTACGCGAGTACTCAGATCTGATTTTCCTGGTTTTGGTGGACATGTGTTAGTGTAAGTCTGTGCTTCAAATTCCAGTTCAGTGTCATAGCCCTGTGATTAGAAAATCAAAATGAAAGATTCGTGCTTTACTTCCGTTTACCATTTTATACATGTTCGTAGCTGGTTGTAAGTTTCCTTTTCCTGCATTTTGTACTTGTCCCTTTGCCAGCAAAGCTCTTGAAAGATTTTCAAAATTCAGTTTATGAAATTTTTATCACATCAATCACAGTACAAGCCACCAAGTCAACCCTTATGATTACACCTGTGCGATGAGAGAGCAGTATACAAATAAAAATTTAGTATGCTTCGATGAAAGAGCACGCGGGATTTTTTATAGTAATCAGCCTACCGTTTTTCGTTCAACTTGTTCACTACTTGATTTCTAATGTCATCCGTCATACATCCACCCGGACTACTTGTGGTTGTTGGAAGTTTTGTTGAAGATACTTTGGCTGACGATGAGGCTGTCGGGCTTGTCGGTGAGGCCGTTGGGCTTGACGATGAGGCCTTTGAGCTTGATGATGAAGCGATTCGGCTTGACGGTGAGGTCGTTGGGCTTGACGGTGAGGCTGTTCGGCTTGACGATGAGGATGTTCGGGTGGACGATGAGGTACGGGTTGACGATGAGGTCACAGCTGTTAAACTTGACATTAAAGTGCTTTCTTGATTTGAAGTAGAACCCACTTACTTGAAGAAATTGCTGTACTCGTACTGCTGGTAGTGGAATCTGTGTTTGCACATATAGTATTTACTATATAGGATAGCATACATCAGTCTTGCCTTCTAGGATCTCTGGACCATCCATTGTTTGGCAAAGGCCACAGGTAGCGATGGCAGAACAACCATCACCGTCATTTTGACAAATGGCATTTGACACAAACTCCTTACACATCTTTGGAGCGCATCCCTTCTTTGTGCTAGCTTCGATGTATAAAGGTTCTCCTTTCTGCGGTCTAAAGCCAAAATATAGCATCTTAGCTTTCAACTTTCTTGATTGGCACTCACATCGCACTATATACACATGCAATGGCAAATTTACCGGTCGTTGAGCCAGTACATGCTACGCGGGCACATCCCACTCTCAACGATTTATAGTATACCATCTAAAATTGCAATTTGCCAGTGACACAATTTGGTATGCACATATTAGAAAAATTTGTGAGCCACTGGCTGCTATCCAAGGCAAACTATAAAAACTCCTGCCTTACTTCACTAGATTTTTCCTTCGCAGCTTTTCGAAGTTTGTTGGGATAGATACGACATCAAATTGTCTGATAACGTCCACATTGAAAAATAAAGGTGAAAAAACTGAGAATTTTTGACGACACGCTTGCCAGCATGAGTACAGTAAGTTGAAAACGACATCGCACGTGACCTTACCTTTTTTGGAAACAACACAACTCTAAATTACTTGCTTATTTTTAGTAGTCAAAACAAGTTGGTGAAGTTTTACAAGAAGGTAAGTGAGCTATGTTCGTTCCCACTGACTCACATACCGTAGATTTTCAGTGAATATTCCGTTCTAAAAAGGTGTTTTTCATGTACTTTTTTGTCTCAACATCCTTTTGGTTCCTTTTTATTTCGTATCGAATAAACTTCGGACTCATCTTATTATTGAAAATGAAAATGTCCATCATGCATTGAACTCACATTTGCGAAACTTTCTGAAGCTGGGTCACTGGGGTTGTACGTAGCGCTGATAGGTAGCTCAGCTGTATCAAGCCAGTCTTCTACTGCATAGAGATAACCATTTTTTGCTGTTTTTTCACGATTCCTGAATGCAGAATGCTTATTATTAGCTAAGATTACGATGCGAAACCCAACGCTGCAAAGTTAAGAGCTCTGTTGAAGGCGCTTGCGTATTCTTTATTGGGCTTACACCTAGTCGCATCAATTGAAGCTGTTGCAATTCCTTCGAGTGAGCAATCGTAAGTCTGTAATATTCGAGTGTAGTTGCTGAAGGCACGGAGTACGAAAGCATGTGTTTTTAGACGTAGGAAGATTTCAAAGAGAGAATATATTTTCAATGGCATAATTGAGTACTACGCTACATATCCAAATTACAATACAGTATTCAGTGTTTTCACGTCTAGTCAGTTTGCTATATGCATATGCGCTTGGAGGAGGCTTACCTTCCTAAAATGTATTAACAGCATAGATAGCTCCGTGTTCTAAATGCAACCGAGATTGCAAGAAGCATCGTCAAGAAGGATTAGCTGGATGATGTTCAAATTACCTTCTAAACATCTGTCAAAAAAAAACGTTGTAAGCTCCCCAAATGCTCATTTACAATACCACGAAGAGCGAAACAGCTGTGTGAAATCGCTCTAGGCAAAGACTGTATGCTTTCTGAAGCCCTTTAAAACGATGACATTCTCTCGTATTTGCATGCTATACTGACTGACTCTACCAGCTTGAATCTCCATAAGGTGTTGCGTGTTACGTTCTCAAAGCGTGCTGCAATTGAGGACAAAATAGTCATCTTACTCCAAACTTTAAGAGTTTGACATGATATTAGGCTTTTGGGCAAATCTTTATTATGATGCTCTTCATCTTTGCCCTTGCCCATGTCCCTTGGGACAATTGCGAAGGTGAAAAATTATGCTGTTGGACAATGATAGTAAAATTAGGGCATACTTATGGCTAAAAGGTTTTTTAAAGCATCTTGATTTGCATCTAGGAACAGCCACTCTGCCTATGAAAATTACAAAGCTCAGGTAATAAAGGGAATTTGAACGGCGAAGGGTTTTGAGGCATTTCACAATCGTGTGATCAAGGTTTAATTCTCGCGCATAAGCCAAAGAAGGTTCCAAACTTAGTTTTTTGCTTTGGACTACAATGCCTCGTTTTCAGCTCCAAAAAATATTGTGGAGCCAAATTCTATCATATCCTTCCACTAGCGAAAGAAAACATGCGGCTACCGCCCGGTTCGTGCAATGAATAAGGCTATAAAGGATTCACCGCACCCATTTCGGCTAAGCAAACATTCAGCACATTGGACTTGAACATCAATGCCCACATTCGGAGAAGCGAGGATTTGGACTTCAGTGCAGGTGTTGTTGCTCCAGAGCTATTCAATTAGATTGTGTTTACAAACATACCAACGCGAATAATGTTTTTGATCCTTTTCCGCCAAGAGTTATGTTACCATTACCACCAGTCGGGTCGGAGAGAGAGGGAGCGTAGCGTCTAGCGACTGCTTGCCGAACATAATTGTGAAAGTTTTCAACGTCAGTATTAGGAGTACACTGCTCTAAAATTTGTAGATTCTCAAATACATCAATTCCTATAAATTTTCTGCACGTACGTAGACCGATTTGGGCGCAACCGAATAGTAGAAACAGCTAAATACTCAATTCTTACTGATATCTTCTTGAGAAGTAACAACTTACAGAGAGAAGATGGCGCATTCGAGTGGAAATGGTCTATGATAAATCGCGAGTGTGTTATCTTGAGGTGTATCAATTCCTTATAACTGCAGCACAAGATTCTTGATTTCTTATCAATTACTGAAAATTCTTCCATACGTGCTCAAATGTAATTGTGTCTGATTGTCTTGTTTTTTGCATAATGGTCTTGCAGGAGGTCTAGCAATAAACATCCTTTGACTGTCTGTCCAATTTTTCTGAAATCAAAGCGTTTCTTCTGTACAACTATTAATAGTAAACTCAAAATTAGGAGAGTCAGGCGTTGAGAAAAGATGTGGCACCAAACGTTTCCAAGACAATTTTTGAAATTTACACATGATTTTGTATTCTGTAACTGAATTTGAGCGGAGCTAAAAATCTATGCTGATCTTGCTCATTAGGGTCACTCAAAAACCCTCAGCAGATTCAAATATGAAACAACAATTTATGTTCAGAAAATGAGGAAGCCAGTGCATTTGTACGCAAGTCTGTGCAACTGTTAAAGGCTACCGCTAAAAATCTTGTTTTGAAGAGCTGACTTTTAATTAGAATATGATTAACTTACTAATAAGGGAGCGTCGCGAAATTTCGAAGTGGCCGATCACCAGATTACAAACGGATTGGAGCGCTGAGTTTAAATCCGCCTTCGCTATTTGCAGAAGGCTTTCGGAAGCAAGTTATGGGCATTTTTATCATTAATTTATCATCAGCGTGGTTTCAGGTAAATACAAAAAATGGAAATCTTTTAAATTGCTTCTTTAACATTCAAGAAGAGGCAGCATCACGTTTAGCAAAGATAAGCTGGTCTAAGTGGGTGTGAATCAAAAAATGCTTAATGTTTGACAAACCCAGCTATCCTCAGGTCCTGCAAACTTCTCGCAAATAAAAGTCCTTAACTTCTTTCCCAGAAGTCTTCTGCAAATATGGAAGGCAGATTTAAAATCAAAGCCTCTAGCTCTTCGCGATGACATGCTTGAAGTGATCGGCCACTTCGACTTCGCGACCCTCCCTTGTAAGGTTTAAAGGCAGTGGTTCGGAAAAATTGCGATTTCGGGCTTTTCACGATTACATGGCCTTCTGGACCAACTGAGTTCGGTACTGTGCTTTAAATGCCAAAAAAGTGCTTTTTTGGCGTTTCCGGATCTTGGACAGCTGGAGGGGCGGCCGGGAGGAAATCACCCCCAAAAAAGCAACTGGCTGCTGAAGACTGTAACTCCGCCTATTTTGGCGGCAATTGGCTGATCAGCCTAGGCAGCCATCGCGATACAGTTTGCCGCCAAAACAGATAGGGTTACAGTCTCCAGCAGCCAGTTGCTTCTTTTGAGGTGATTTCCTCCCTGCCGCCCCTCCAGCTGTCCAAGGCCCCCGTAAACGCAAAAAAAGCACTTTTTTGGCGTTTAAAGCGCAGTACCGGACTCAGCTGGTTCAGAAGGCCATGTAGTCGTGGAAAGCCCGCAGTCGCAATTTTCCCGAGCCACTGCCTTCAAGAAGTTGGATCGATGTTTGCAAGGAGAAAAAATGCTTTATCTATTCAGCCATTAAAGCCTGTTACGGCAGACAGTATGAAGTCTACGAAAAACCTAAAACTTTTCAGCTTTTGTGCCACAGAGGTTTGGTGTTCATCTCTTTTTACGTTTGGCGCCTCACGATCAGTTCGCTTGACAATGATGAGATTTGTCTACGGTATGCAACCTAAACCTGTGGCTGCTGCATGACGAAGACGAAACCTTCGGGCGCGAACGCGGCTTTATTAGCCGCGGAGCGCATGTGGCGCAGGATTTACAACGGTGAGGATATGAGCGCGTCGCGTTTGCGCTCACTCAACTAGGACCCTTCTGCACCTTCGTCATGCAACTGCCTTTAAGTTTGTTTTCATTCACTAGCTACATCAAAAAATAGCTTGATTTTTAATCATCTCATCTCATATTACTGATATCGAAAGTCTCGCTGCTATCTCTGGTATCCTGAAAGGACATAAAATTGTTATTGCCTCCTTAGTAGCTGTCACAATACCTTTATTGGACAGAAACCGTACATAACTCACATTGAGCAAATTTTACAATTTCGATATTAAGGAGAAGTCTTTCAACATTCAATGGGTGTTTGTTCTGATAATTACCATTTATCTCGCGGTGAAAGATACATGAGAATAATCAGCATAAAATTTCGAAATATATTTGATGGCTAGCTCATGCTTCAGCTCAGCCAACGTAAAAATATGAAATATTTAATGACTTGCTGTAAACGAACGAACAAATCTTTTTCTTAACATTGGGAAGATACAATACTGCTCACAATTTGTCAAAGTTGCCGAAGTCTGCCGGAGTTGTCCAAGAACACCGTTCGACTCAGCTCGGAGAGGCGCATCTTATGATTTATTTACGGTAAGTTTGCGGGAAGCAGTCAGTTTTCAGCAATTTTGTTCAGTTGACTACTCAATGTGACAATGACAACAACATTCACATCAATTTGCTGCTGGTGGCACAATGTATTTATAATTGGAGTACGACAAAAATCTTTGATCGGGGCCCCATTTGCAGACCTTTCATCTCTAATATAAAATGAGTCCAGCTTTGGGCAATGCATTACTCGAGCAGAATTGCAGAATGAGGTCATGTTGGTAAGCACAAACGGTAGGAGCAAAGCACTGTTTGCTCAGACAAACGGCGGGAAGTTTCGGCGAACATTGAGGAAAGCTCTGGCGGGTCACCTGGGGAACTCCATTGTAAGTTCGTGGGAACTTCAGCTCCAAAGCTCTCGGAAACAATTTATAGTTTGCCAGAATTTTTTCATCCAAAGTTCTCGGAAAGTTTCCAAAAGAATGTGGTTCAGGGAAACTTCCATAGTTGATGTTCTCGGGAACTTCTTGCTTAATCTGTCGAAATCTCAGCTAATAACCACTTCTAATGCGATTGCCATAAAGAACAGTCTATATAACTATTAACGATGAAATGTTTGTTTCACACTTAACATAAAAACTTCATCGAATAACTAAGTACTAATAACTAACTATACACGTGATGAGTATCTGTTGATAAAAGGAACAAAATGTTTTCACGGTTGATTGCTTAAGTTTTCACGGCTGATGTCTAGGTTTTCTTTCCAAGCGTCCGTGCTCATTGTCTCTTTGTCGGTGCGTTCAAGTCCCACAAGGGCACCCTTCGATTTCTAAAAGAATACATATAAAAAAATGGAAGAAGTGCATTCTAACATACCTTCTGTAGAACAAGACGACCATCGTGCAGGCGATAGTAGCGCACATCCTCGCTAAAAATAGAAACTACCGTTTTACGATTGCGTAATGTAGAAGTGGTGGACTTACAGCGCTTCAGCAATGCATGTTTCTGCTAACGCTCCATTTCGACTTTTAGTCCAGCAGGAAATTAGAGGCTTTTTCATGACCCTGCTCGTTTTCAGCTAAGGACAGCCAAAAACTAAAAAAAAATTCTAGCGCCTAAAATGCTTATGGTAGGTATAGACAGCACCTGTTCTGTGAATTCTTTACCAGGTGCAGCCAGGGCCCGGCACGAGGTTGTCAAATGACAAGCTGGAAATCGTTTTGGGCAAAAAAAGCAAAGGGAAAATCGTTTTTGGGGGCGCGTAACGATATGACACCACATATGGTAAGCGAACGGAGAGAGAGAGGCTAGTGGAAACAGAGGATGAAAAATTATGAAAAACTTATGTGAACGAAACGAGTAATAAGCATTTTTTCCGAAAATTTTGCAAAATTCGTAAATGAAAATGTGAATTCAAATGGCTCGTTTGCAGCGCAGATGACGACATGGTATGAAACTTGGTACGGACGTAGACACAAGCCTTTAGGAGTTAACTTAGGAGTTTCATTGAAAAATTATGTGACTGAAGGTTGTGGCAAACTTTTTAAAAATTTCCCGCCACCAAAGAAACGGAAAAATGGCTCGTTTGCAACGCAGAAGCGACGAAATTGCGCGGGATTTGGGGTGTATCTGCGCAGTAGAACTAAGTGACAAAGTATGAAATATTATGAAAAACTTATGTGAATGAAGAGCGTGCTTAACTTATTTCCAAATTAGCTTGTCATCTGACAAGCTAATGACAAGCTGAGCTTGTCAAAACTCTCAATTCACATAATTTTTCAAAATTTTTACATAAATCTACTCTACATCTAAAGATTAGTATATCTTGAAATTTTGGTTTCAAACTTCCTCCTCTCTTCTTTGCTAGAGCCAAAAATAGCCTCAGGGGAACCGTTTCCTAAGGAGGAAAGCGCGCTCCGATCGAACGGCGTATTGCTGAGTCCTTTAATCGGCGTCTATTTTTCGTCGCTTGCTAGTTCTTTCTTCTGTTTCCATCTTTTCACCTTCTTTACTTGCTTTCACTGTTATTTATCGTATTACTAGTTTTCTGTTTTTGTTTTGCTGTTTTCTCACCTTTCGCACCTTTCTCACCTCTCACCATCTCACCTTGTACAGGAGTCCAAAGCTTTTTCTTTATGAGTTCACCAATATCAATGATTTTTGAAATAATTCTTTTGCTTTTTGACCATTTTACATTTAGACTCAGTTCTCCAAATGCGCAACGCTATGTCCAACGAACGTGAACATCTTTCAGCGGAAGCTTTTGAAGCTGCCCATATCTGCGCCAACAAATACATGGTGAAGAGCTGCGGAAAGGTAAAAGTGTTTGAACTTTTTATATAAGTCGAATATGCGTGAATTTAAACTACGCACGGTTTTCTTCAGGATCGTGAGCTCTTAGGCAGCCGCTATACTCCTCGAGGAGCGCTGGAAATCTTCGAAGGCTTAAGGTAAGGTGACATGGTTCTTTTCATAACCGAAGTTTGTGGAATCTTCCGCGGTTTCAAGGAGGTTTACACGTTTTTCTTGTTCTTTCTTGTAAAGATGAGTATTTTTGTTATAATTTGCCTGATGGACGCTGCCTAACGAACAAATGTACAGATGACACCTGACTGTCGAAATAAACCCATGGATAGAAACAAGCTCTGGGTGAAATCTCATGTGGTAAGTTTGCAGTCTTTTGAGTCGTTTTGTGTGTCTGTAGAGAATTTGAGCATTGTTTGCTTTTGCAGGACTACCAAATGTTGTATCCAGAAAGCTGGCACGAAGTCTACGATATGATTGCAAATCACCCACGCAAGGTAACTGCTGTGTTATCACTCCATTCTCAGAGTTTTGTTTCACCTTTTCTCTTATTGTCTTCTGGTTAAGTGGTGAACTGTGTTCTAAATGCCCAAATGGCTCGTTAGGTTGAAAGTTGCAGCTTGAAAAAGGGCTCGTTTGTATCTATGTAGAAAACTTGATGCGTTTCCCGTGTTGCCAAGTGTTCAAACTAGCAATCACAGAATTGGTTCGGAAATAAGCTTAGATTGCAATTTGTCATCAAAACTTGGAACAGCAGTTTTTTGGTTTTCGTTTTGCACCGAGTTTTCCTTCTTCAGAGTCCATCAAGAGTACCCCATCTCCCTTCCTTTGCTCCTTTTGACTATGAATGCGTGATGGGATTCTTAATAGAATATTACTCATCTACGTTTTCAGACTTCATAACTCTTGGTTAGCAGGAACTGTCGTGTTCATACTGATAATGGTTGCCTTTGCGGTCGAGCATCAAATGCTTACAGGGAATTAAAAAATCGATAGGCTATTCTGTGATTTTCATACAGTGAACTTAATGTGGTCAGTCTGCAAGGCCTCTGCGGCTCATTCGCTACTTCCTGTAGACACTAACATGCTTGTCAACGGTGGATCAACGGTTAGTTTCTTTTGCCAGCGTGCCCTTCTGTGCGCTATGCATAAGATGTGCATAAAAGAGGTCTAGACTCGTCATGTAGTTAGGTGACGTTCGGCGACGTAGTTCCGCAATTCAACACTGCAGTCATCATTCAGACCTTTGGAAAAGACAACTTGTCGAACGTTAGGTCAGTAAAGATTCACAGTACTAAACTGTGCTTAACAAAACCCGCACATCAAATTACGAGAGAACCATGGGTCAGCCTCTTTTGGTTTGACTGGACATGTAATAGATAATACACATTTCCACAATTTGTTCCGCTAGAAGGGCTTTTACCGGCGATTCCAGTAAGGGTCCTTGATTGGCAAGCGCAATTGCAGGATCACTTCTGGAGTTACAAATGACTCACGGATGATTATTGCAATCAGCGCAAATAGTCGCGAGCAAATGTTTAAACACATTCATGCAGCTTACAATGTCCGTACAAAGTGTCATCAAAATCAAATCAAATAAATGTTGTCAGCACACAAGTAGCCCATCTGAACAAAAGCCTAAAAAAATTCGTGAAAACTACTATCCACCGTAATTCCATAGATCATGGCACTTCTTTGTATCAAATGAGCCTGACAATGATGACGAGTTTCCAAACATTACCGCAAGAAAATGCCAGCAACATTACAAGAAATTTAAAAATATTTCCTGACTTTGAAAGCTGCAAAAATTGCCTCTCTGTCGAAACTTTCAATTATTGCAACAGCTAAACTGCCTCGAATTTCGCATCACAGCTCGTAAGTATAGTAGATACAAGCCGTTCTAACAATAGATTTGCACTTTTTGATGGCATTTCTATTTCGCGAGTACCTTGTGCGGTGTTTGCAACCCTCTCATTGTTAAAAATCCCCCTAGCAGAAACAACTGAAGAATTTCCTTCAACAATTGAAGAAAAGTTTAGAAAGCCATCATTTATCTTCTTCTTTCTTCTTCTTCTTTATCCTCGCCATTGTCCCGCGGGGGCATGGTCGGCTGTGGTGCATTTTTGCTTCCATTTGACTCGAATTTGGTGATCTTCATCAACGGCTGCCCATCAATGCTAATTGTGCCATCGGTTTGCTCTCCGCATTCCAGCTATTCAGTCTTTGCTACTTTCGGTCGCAGGCCATACTCCGCTAATCGTGTCTTCCATCTCGCGGTCGCCTCTTCGAGCTCCTGTCTCGATCCCTTGCTGGCTCGACGTTATCCGCGTAAAAGAGCGTCCACGGGCGCGGCAGCTGAATGTCCCTGGCCACCGTGTCCATGCACAGTATGAAGAGAAGTTGTGATAAAGCCGATCCTTGATGTACTCCAACTTAGATTGGGAATGGCGTTGACGTTCCCACTGCACAACGTACTGCGCCCGTCGTGTTCGCATAAGGAAGTTTGATCCAGCGGACGTACTCTTCTGGGACTTCGTGTTGTCTCAGCGCATACCAGATCAGCCCGTGTGGTATCCGATCAAATGCCTTTCTCGACCCAAGAATGCGAAACGGATCGGAATCCGTTTCTCCAAACGACATTCCATTAGCAGTCGTACTGCATGGATGACATTGATGGTACCAGATCCTTTTACAAAGCCGCACTGGTTCGGGGTGACTTTCACTATACTTCGGATGCGTGCGTCGATGACTCGTTCAAAGATCTTCATGGTGTGGCACAGCAAACGTTTCGGTCGATATGTTGAACAGTCGCTGACGTCGCCCTTTTTCTTCCAGATAGGGACTGTAACACTCGTGGTCCAGATTCGCGGCACCTGCCCGTCGACGATGATGCGGTTTAAGAGCGATGTGAGATATGCCACTCCATGCTGCCCCATCATCTTCAACACTTCAGCAGGTATGTCATCAGGTCCCAGGGCTTTACCGCTAGACATCTCCTTAAATGCCTGCACAACTTCTGGCTCCTCAAATCCGAGGTACCGGTCCAAATGTAGGGCTCCTTGTGGTACTAACGGATGCGGGAACTCCTCATTACATAGACCTCTGTAGTATTCACTCCACCGCCTAAGTATAGCCCTCGGCTTCGTCAGGAGATTGCCTTCTGCGTCCTTAATGTGCATGACATAGTCGATGTCTTGCTTCGCTCGATGTCGTGCAGCGGCCAATTGGTAGACCTTGTTTGCTCCAGCAGGTCCTTCCAGCTTATAGTAAACTATTGTAGTGCGCTTCCTTTGCCTCGGTTACCGCATGCTTCGCTCTCGAGTTCAGTTCTCGATATCGACGAAGATCCTCATTTAAGTGTGAGCGCTTCCAGGCTTCGAAGGCTTCTTTCTTCTCTTTGATTACTTACTGGACTGACTCAGACCACCACCAGAGGTGTAGTCTGCGCTATCATTTATATGGTCACGTAACCACTTCGCGGTAATTCAAAATTGTGCGTCAGGAAAAAATTCTCATTTGCGACGAATAGGTTATGCTATAGTGTGGACCCCGGCCAGCTTTCCATATGTACCTCCGCGCCGCGTACGCAGCGCACGCCTTCAGTGCGCTTTTCGTATGACGGAAAAATGCCTTTTTGCTTGATCTAATAAGCTTTCAAAGGAAGATCTTTGAGCTCCCAAAAGCATCAAAATATCTTGGTTTCGTCTAATGAAGCTGCAGTCTTCTCTAAAAAGCAGTCAACAAGCTAACAAGGAAACAAGGAAACAAAAACATTTTCTGATGTTTCTGACGTCTGTTTTCCTATCAGAATCACTGGGAGGTCGTCGAACTCTGAATACGTGAACATCCATAACAAAAAGACATTTATGATGCAATAAAGAGTTTCTGAAGCAATTGAAGAATGGTTACAAATTGCTAAAGCAATGACATGTTTTTTAGGCTTTATACAGTGACACAAATCGGGTTACAACTTCTTAGTTAGCATTGAAAAATTTTTACAGTGTAAAGCACACCCTAAGGAGAAAACAACTGATTAAATTTGGAGGTCGCCCGCAAATTTGAAACAAATCATTGTGGTTAATCTTGGTACTCTGAAACTTCAAAGAATTTTGTGATTTACTAGGTACAAAGCTGCACAAGTTGCTGATCATACGAAATTATATGTATATTTTGATTAAGTTGTATGTGCGCAATTTCTCACAAAATGTTTTTGGGACATGGATCGATAAAAGCCGGAAAATGCAGGTATGTCAACGTTGTCATAACGTAAGCTATGTAATATGCAGTTCGTACCTGGATACTTGTACTGATGTGACCATCTGTATCACTTGTATCCCCTTTGATCGTCGTGTTGACAATCGTGTACCAGTGATGCCTCCATTCGTCCCTGTCCCGGGCAAGTGTTGACCTACATTTCAGTATCGCACCAGGTACATCTGGAACGCTCTGAAGGACTTCATCAAAGGACTTCGTAAACATATCTGACCATTGCGTCGGCGGTCTTCTTCATTCTTGTGTGAGATTAGTATTCCTGCTAGCTCTCATCCAGCGTTTGCCGTCAAACCGCGTTACGTGTCCGTCCATCTTATCTTGTTCAGCTTGGCATATGCGGCACTCTCCGATCTTCGATAATTGAAGCAAGGTAGGACTCCGCATTCCTTCCTTCATATGCATGCGGCAGTTCATCCCTAATATCATTCTCTCAACAGCACTTGAAGGCAATGTCCGGGCAAGTTGGGGGTTTTGGGATTTTAGTGCCATGCGAAAGTGACCCTCCTCGGACACAACATCGCGCAAGTGCGAGCCTTAACGCTCGACCTAAAGCAAGAAAAGCGACCGATGATTTTCCGCTTTCCTTCGCGCATTGGCATCCGAACTTGCAGTATACGAGTATACTGGCCAAAATTTCCTTTGAAGAGTATTGTGAGCAAAAGCTTGTCCTACATTTGCTTAATGAAATAAGCAGTTATTGTAAAGGCACTGGACGAATCTTAGCAGGACTACATGCGGGCCACGACAATGGACTCGCTATTATTTTCAAGGGCTGCTTCAAAGCCAAAAGAGGTAATCTCAAAATTTGAGAGCTGCGCTATATTTGTAAAGGTTCGAATTGTATGTGCACCAAACTTTTTTTTCTAGGTCTCTCCTTACGATTTTATCTGAGAATGTACTAGGCTCGTAGACTTTTGACGCACCCTGTAAAGAGCAGGTTTCAGGCCAGGTTAAGCATTTACAGAGCTTTGAAAACAGCACTGAAACCAGATTTTCTTTGTATTGAATTATGTCGCTTTTTGCAAATTTAGCTACTTGATGTAATTCAAATTCTTTACATTACGCACAATCGATTATTCTTTTTGAGATTTCCTAATAAACATATTGGCGCTTTAACATGGGTAGTCGTGTCTATGGCTCATAGATATCTTTGAAGTAGGCAATCGCCAAACCTTTGCTCATATCTGTAAGCGTAAAGGCAAGGCATTCCGTTGACAGTTTTTGCAGAAACATTTGGGTGTTGAATACACAAAGAATTAGAACTGTACTTTACTTGACTATTTTAGACTTCGATTTTTCTCTTTTTCGCAAGTCTTTTTTTTTGTCCAAGCCTCTTACAATTTCTTTGTACTGATGGCTTGCGACTACAAGATTGGCTATTCAACGATTAGACTAACAAACTATTGAGAGATTTATAATTTGTCAGATCTCTACCTCCACACGGATTTTTCCATATATTACAGAAGCATAGATTTTTTTTGGAAGTTATAGTAAGTCAAAGTGAAATTTCGCAAAACGCTCATAATTCTTGCATCTACATGATATTTTTCGTGGAAGAATTAGGTTGGTCCAAAATTTCTGTCGCACCATTTTAGAAAATCGTAACTTCTTCCCTTCGCAATAATCTTGCGCGACAAAAACAAATTTGGAAAGAGTAAAACATACAGTAGCATCTTCACTGCTCTCCAATGAGCTTTTGTCGCAGAGATAGAAATAGAAACTCAAAATCTTTTGAGGTTCGGCGATTTGAGGCTGTGCAATAGAGTTCAAAACAGCCATTGCTATAGGCTTTCTGACCTCCTCTTTCTATATAAGTAAAGTTTGTGCTAATCGAGCTCTTCTTTGAAAAGTTATGATTTTTGGGAAAAAAAGCCAAAAAATCGGTTTTTCCAAAAGATTGGTTTCTGGCCAGGGCTGAGCACGAGCTGGCACCAGGAAAATTTTGAAACGAAGTCCCGTTTGATCTTGTAGATTTCGTACGAAGTCCCCTTTAACCAGTTTTTAAGACAAGTCATTATTTTTGGATTCTGTAAAAGTATGTAGTAGGGTTTTCATGCATGCTGGAACCACTTTTCACAAATTTCTGAGCTTTTTATGTGGTTGAAGCACATCTTGAGAAGCAGAAAAAGCCGATGTTTCGATTGCGGAGCAGACTGAGTAATTTTAAAATTGCTATAAAACGCTGAAAAGAAAACATTATGAAAATAAGTTGAAATTGATGTCTTGTAGCCATTATGAAAATGTTTCTTCTCTGTATGTAAACGTTTAGGTATAGATACATTTTATGTAGAAAAGTATGAAAACTTATGTAAGCAAAGTGTCGGTGCCAGCTCAGCTGGCACCCAGCTGGCACGGTGCCAGCTAATTCAGAAAAAAGTTCGGCACAGCTTTCATTCACATAAGTTTTTATAAATTTTTGGGCTATAGTTCCGGTCCACCAACGCGCATGCACACACCAAATTTGGTGTCATACTATTGCATTTTGGCTGAGAACGAGGCCTTTGTTTGTTGATGGACAGCATGCCGGTAGCATGCCGGCGGTATTCTTGCGGCACTTCTCCGCCGCGGACCCTGAAAAAACGATATCCCCTTCGCTTCCCACCCTAAAAACGATATCCAGCTTGACCCGGTGCCAGCTGTGCCGAGCCCTGTTTCTGGCATTTTTTTGCAAAAATGAATTTTCAAAAAAGAGTTCCATCAGCACAAATTTTGCTCAGCTAGAGAGAGGCGGTCAAAAAACTTATGACATCGGTCTTTTGGAATTTATCGCACGGTTTCCAGATTCTTGACGGGCTTACCTCAAATCGTCTAGAAAGATCTCCTCATTCCATTTTTATATCTAAACAAAGCATAATAAAGTGATCAGGGTGTCGTTAAATAAGCATTTTACCTTTTCCAATGAAATTAATTACAAGCAGACATTGTGACAAGAAAAATTTACTGGTGCGACAGAACTTTTAGACCAGCCTAATATTTCTTGCATTTAAACCACAAATATAAGGTTGTCTCGCACGTTTTTCAGTTGTAACCACGATTACTCATACTCTTCTTCTGAAATACGCTGCAGAGAGCTCCTCGAAAGAGTAAAGCGGACTTTATAATGGCATGGAAAGGCCTCGTGCCAGCTTTGGTACCTCGAGATTAGAGCCGAAATTTGAACAGTGTCGTGCCGGAAGAATTAAAAAATTTTCATATCCTCGTCCAAAAACACACCGATCTCTCATTCATTCACACTCACACACTCCACATTAGACATTCATATATGTCGTTGTTGTCTCTTTCTGAGCGAGAAAAGCGTGAACTTTTATGTTTTTACCAGGATGTTGTGCTTCCAATAAGTGAATGTATACTACTTTTTTTTTCAAAATCAAAGCCATATATTTCAGCTGTCTACAGTCGCACTTCACTAGTCACTTGGACGATGAATTTACACAGAACGGCAGGTTGCGATAGAGCGCGGCATCCTTAATCCTTAATGTAAAGGCAGGGGCTCTGCAGAATGACACTGGGCTGTGCTTTGCAGCTTCAAAAGATATCAATAACCCGCTTTTCCAGACCTGGAAAGTGCTATTTGGACAAACGGCGTAAGCCTGCCCTCTAGAGCGCGATTGGCTCCTGAGCGGAAATACCGTACCTATCCCGGCGACAATTGGGTCATTGGCTCCAGCAGCCACTTTCGCGATCCCCTTCCCCTTTAAACAGTACTTTTCACGTCCGAAAGAGCGAGTTAGCGGTTTCAGACTCAGTTCATCCAAGGGAGTCACAAAAGGATGAATATAAAATGGTTGACATTCTGCCGAGCCATTGCCTCTAAGCTTACACATGTTTTTCCCTACTTTTCCTTACCGTTTTTTTCACGAACAGGGTTTGTGATGAATTGACGACTTTTTGTTGTTCAGCAATTTTATATGCGTTCTGAAATTCAAAGTAAGCTGAGAGGAACGATGCAGTGGCTAGTTGGTAACATAAAATTTACTAAAGCAACAGTTATCACATATTAAGCAAAAAAGGAAGTACAAGCAAAAATTTTCTAATTTCATTCATCGTATCTCCAAGCTTACCTGAGCTCAGAGTCAAACAAACGAGCACAGAAGTGCGAAACATCACTCAACAACACTAAAATCGTCAGTTCTGAAGAAGAAGCAGCAAAGCAAGAAGCAGCGTTTGGAAATACGAAAGAAAAACATTCGTAAGTTCGGATTTAGGGCTGAGGATTTACAGCCAGTCAGCTCCAGTTCAAATTTGTGATAGAGGGGTGAGGACAGTACAAGCTTCAGTTTTCGAGAAATATTGGTTCTTGCATGAGACACTCGCGTAGTTTGGAAGGCCAAATTCGATGTTCCTCGAAAGTCAGAACTTAAGAGCTGAAAATTTATAATTGTATTTCTAAAAAGCTTGTTGTATTCATTTACACATGTGAGAACTGGAAAGAAATGCTACGAAATTTTCGATTTTTTTTCTTTAGCCTACAAAATTTTATAACAAAGGTGTATATGGATGTGGAGTGCTATGGGTGAGTGAACGATTCGGTATGTCATATTTGGACGGAGATATAAACATTTTGTTCCACTTTTAATGGCACAACTTCTTAGACCTAAACTTCAAACTCAAAATGTACTAACGTGGTGCGAACCTTTACAAGTCATCTCATTGAACTTGCTTGCTTATCGTCGTATACTATTGGTTTCCAATAAGACTCGATGTATGATTTAGCGCTAAAGAAACCTAAGCTTGAAATTAAATTTTTGGACAACTTAATAACATGGATTGGAATTTTTGTGACAGTGATTTTCCTCCTGTTCTGTTCTCATGCTTCCTATGAATACTGTCAAAGGCTGTCTTGACTCGCACATTGATCACACCATTACGTACGTGAATGGATATCAAACGGTAATTCTACAAAATCTTATAGAAGGAACGATAGCCACAATTTCATCGCCTCAAAACAGCCATTTTCATTGCCTTAATTTTTTCGCACTTTGGCACTTCATCTTTGGCGTTTTGTTCCATATGCACATATGCACAGTCCCTCCTGTCACTTTTCCTATAATGATATTTCCTTCCACATTTGAATTTCCTCTATGAGAAGTATGAGCAACTCTTTGGCTAGAAACTGTTTATTCTACTGATTGTTCGTTGTTCTTTCGATTCAATAACACTTCGCGAATCCAAATTCGAAACTCATTTTACAAGAACCGGGCCAATATTAGAAAAGCTGTTTGAACTGTAGAAGAAGGAGGCCTCAAGACGTCAAGCAGTTGACTTCTTAAAAAAATTGGGATCAGTGTTTTACTACATAGGACAGCAAACATCAGTCGTCTTGCCTTATAGTGACTCTGGACCATCCACTGTTTGGCAAAGACCACAGGTGGCGAAGGTAGAACAATCATCGCTGTCATTTTGACAAATGGCATTTGACACTAACTCCTTACACATCTTTTGAACGCATCCCTTCTTCGTGCCAGCTTCAATGTACAAAGGCTTCCCTTTCTGCGGTCTAAAGCCAAAATATAGTATCTTAATTATCAACTCTCTTGATAGACACTTACATCGCGCCATATACACATGCAATGGCAAATTTACCGGTCTTTGAGCCAGTACATGCCATGCGGGCACACCCCATTTTCAACGATTTATAGTATACCATCTAAAATTGCATTTTGCGAAGTGACACAATTTGGTATGCACATATTAGGAAAATTTGTGAGTCACTGGCTGCTATTCAGGGCAAACTACAAAAACTCCTGCCTTACTTCACTAGATCTTTCCTTTGCAGCCTTTCAAAGTTTGTTGGGATAGATATGACATCAAAAATTGTCTGACAACGCTCACTTTGAAAAATAAAGGTAAAAAGACTGAGAATGTTTAACGATACGCGTGCCAGCATGAGTACAGTAATTGGAAAACGAATAGCACGTGACCTTACCTTTATTGGAAACAACACAACTCTAAATTACCTGCAAATTTTTTTGGTAGTTAAGACAAGTTGGTGAAACTTTATTAACAAGAAGATAAGTGACTCAAGTGAGCTATGTTCAGTCCCACTAACTCACATGCCGTAGATTTTTAGTCAATATTCCGTGCTATTAGGTTGGTAAGAAAGTTCTCGGACATTTTCAGACTAGAACTGCTATTTCTCGAAACCTAACGCGTATACAGCCGAGAGAGATACCTTCGATAGAGCAAAGCAAGTTCTACAAAATGGTATGCGAAAGTTCGCCCCAGCTTCGATCCACCGTAGGTTTGCATCCAAAATCTGAGTTGTACTGAAGGCTCGAAAAACTGGCAAAAAATCATATCTTCGTTTAAAAAAATTTTACGGATCTCCACTTGCTCAAGCAAATTGCACACTACATCAGACACTCATATGTACCGTTCCTGTATTTATTTCTTCACCTAGGAATCGAGAAAACAAGGATCTTCATGCTTGTACAAAAACGAAGCTATGCTGTTCTCACACGCGTAACTGCACAGTACACCCCCTCAGAAGTACAACCGTAAATTTTTAGCTTTCTGCATGCCCTAGTTTTTGAAAAATATTGATTTTAGCATGAAACACCCGAGTGAGGAGAACTCAATTCGGTAATTTTCGGAAACCAGAGCCTATAGGAAGCTAAAAATTTACCGTTGTATTCCTAAAGGCTTGTAGTACACAACTGCATAAGCGAAAACAGCATAGCTTCGTTTTGTATAAACATCAAAATTTTCGTTTTCTCGATTTCTAAATGGGGAAAATTTCAGAAACGGTACATATAAGTGTCTGATGTGGTGTGCAAATTGCGTGAGCAAGTGGAGATCCGCAGAACTTTTTTAAGCGAAGATATGATTTTTTCCCAGTTTTTCGAGCCTTCACGTACAACTCAGATTTTGGATGCAAACTTACGTGGATCGAAACTGGGGCGAACTTTCGCATACCATTTTGTAGTGCTTGCTTTGCTCTATCGAATGGTATCTCGTGTAGACGCATTAGGTTTCGAAAATTAGCAGTTTTAGTCTAAAAATGTCCGAGAACTTTGCTACCAACCTAATAAAAAAATTGGTTTTTCATGTTCTTTTTGTCTCTACATCCTTTTGGTTTCTTGATTGTATCGAACAAACTTCGAACAAACTTATCTTATTATTAGAGACGAAAATGTTCATCATGCATTGAACTCACATTTGCAAAACTTTCAGAAGCTGGGTCACTGGGGTTGTACGTAGCGCTGATAGGTAGCTCAGCTGTATTAAGCCAGTCTTCTACTGCATAGAGATACCCATTTTTTACTGTTTTTTCACAATTCCTAAATGCCGGAATTCTCATTATTAGCTAATCTTTCATTGCAACACCCACGTTGCAAAGTTGAGAGCTTTGTTGAAGGCCCTTGCAAATTCTTTATTGGGCTTACACTTATTCGCATCAATTAAAGCCAAAGCAATTCCTTCGAGAGTGCAATCGTAAGTCTGTAATATTCAAGCGTAGTTGCTTAGGGCATGGAGTGCGAAAGCATGTGTGTTTAGGACGTAGGAAGATTTCATAAAGAGAGTATACTTTCAATGGCATAATTGATTACTACGCGTGCATATCCAAACTATAATGAGTATTCAGTGATTTCATGTCCTGTCAGTCTGCTATATATGATACGCACATGCGCTTGGAGGAGGCATACCTCCTATTAGGATGTATAAACAGCTTAGATAGCTCTGTGTTCTATATGTAACCGGAATGCAAGAATTTTTAGGAAGGGATTTGTTGAATGATGTTAGAATTACGTCCTGGACTTCTGCCAACAAAAAAGTGGTAAGCTTTACAAATGCTCATTCACAACACCACGAAAAGCGAAACAGCTGCGTAAAATCGCTCTAGGCAAGGGCTGTATGCTTCCTGAAACGATGAGATTCTTTCGTGTCCGCATGCTACCCAGTAACTTTATCAGCTTGAATCTCCATAAGGTTGCGGTGGCACGTTTTCAAAGTGCGATGCAATTAGGGGTGAAATATTCAACTTATTACTTCAAGCATAAGAATTTGACATGATATCAGGCTATTGAGCAATCTTTATCATGATGGTGTACAACTTTGCCTTTGCCTTTTCACAATGCGAGTGAAAATTATGCTATAGAGCAATGATAGTAAAACTAGGGTACACTTATGCTATAGATTTTTCTGGAATAGCATCTTGATTTGCATCAAACAGGCATTTTGCCTATGAAAATCACAAAGCTCAAGCACTCAAGAGTATTTGAGTGGCAAAGTGTTTTGCGGCACTTCACGACCAAGTTTTGATTCTCTCGCATGAGCCAAGCAAGGTTTCAAACTTGGCTTTTCCGCTGAATTAGAATGCCCCTTCCTCAGCTCTAGAAAATAGAAGCCATGTTTCTATCATATCCTTTCCAGTAGCAAAAAATGGATAGATCTCTTTGCAAGGTATCTTGCTGACTAAGATGTTGCCAATTCATGGGATCTGTAAGAGACATAGGTATTGGCATAACCTACTAAATCTTAGCTTTCAATTTGACGAAACAGACGCACTGCGGGAAGTTTCTAAGTTGCGTAGATCGATTTACCTTCATCAATTTTCAGTGCCAATCGGTATTACGAGCATAGTGATGAAACGAAAATTTCTATCTCGAAACAGTGCAGAAATTGTTGCTCGAGAACTATACAATCAATCAATGTGTCTACAGACATACCAACGCGAATAGCGTTTTTGATCCCTTTCCGCCAAGAGTTATATTGCCACCACTTGGGTTGGATAGAGAGGGAGCATAGCGTCTAGCGACTGCTTGTCGAACATAATTATGCAGGTTATCTACGTTACCCGGAGGAGTACAATGCTCTAAAATTTGTAAATTCTCAAATACATCAATTCCTATAAATTTTCTGCACTTACGTAGACTGATTTGGGCGCAACCGAATAGTAGAACCAACTAAACATTCAATTTCTTCTGATATCTTCTTGAGAAGTATCCACTTACAGAAAGACGATGGCGCATTCAAGTGGAAATGGTCTATGATAAATCGCAAGTGTGTTATCTTGAGATATATCATTCCTTATAAGTGCAGCACAAGATCTTGATTTCTTATCAATTGTTGAACATTCTTTCATACGTGCTCAAATGTAATTTTGTCTGATTGTCGTGTTTTTTACGTAATGGTTTTGCAAGAGGTCTAGCAATGAACATCCTCTGACTGTCTGTCCAATTTCTCCGAAATCAAAATATTTCTTCTGTACAACTTTGAAAACTGAACTTAAAATGATTTACACATGATTTATGTATTCTAAAACTGAGTTTGAGCAGAGCTAAAAAGTTATACTTCTTGCCCATTAAGGTCACTCACAAAACCCTCAAAAGTAGATCCATATATGAAACCGCACATTAAGTTCAGAAATTCAGTAGACAATGCAATGTACTCAAGTATCTATGGCTGTTCAAGGTCATCTCTAGAAATTTTGTTTCGGAGGAGTAATTTTCAATTGAAGAATGAATAATTTACTACAAGGGAAAGTCGCGAAGTCGAAGTGGCCGATCACCAATTTACAAAGAGCTTCGGGCGTTGGTTACAAATGCCTTCGCTGTTTGCAGAACGCTTTTGGGAAGCAAGTTATGGACATTTATCATCAAAATTTGCGTGTTTTTCAATGAATACAAAAAAATGGGAACCTTTCAAATTGCTCCTTTATTTCAAGAGGCAGCATCACGTTCAGAATGGAAAAGCTGGTTTAACAATAAGTAGTCAAAAAATAGCGGTTGACAAATCTGGCTATTCTCAGGTCTCGCAAATTTTTCTCAAATAAAAGTCTATGACTTCTTTCCCAGAAGTCTTCTGCGGATATGGAAACCTCTTCTGCGCCTTCGTCATGCAATAGCCTTCACATTTATTTTTATTCACTAGCTCACTAGCATCAAACATGGCTTGATTTTCGATCATCTCATCTCATATAACTGATGTCGAGTTTCGCTGCTATCTCCTGTATTCTAAAAAGACATAAAATTGTTATTGCCTGTCCTCAGTAGCTGTCACAATACCTTTATTAGATAGAAAGCGAACATAACTCACATTGAACAAATTTTATAGCCTCGATATTGAGGAAGAGTATTTCTGCATTCAATAAGTGTTTGCTCTGATAATTACTAAAGGTATTTCCGCGTGCAGGAAATCGCTCGCCATAAAAGATGCACGAGAAAAAGCGGCATGAAATTTTAAAACATGTTTAATACATACACGACAATACGACCCACCGGTGGGTCGTACGTGTTCTGCCATTTCAGACAATACGACCCACCGGTGGGTCGTATGCTTTCCGAAGTTTTTGGTTTTGTTAGTTCACGGTGAAACTTTTTAGGCGAACCGAGTAAACTTCTGCATACACCTCTTCGAGTACTTCCTAAAAGATTAACACTTCAGACCACAGGGTCCATCAGTGACCTGAAAATATTACGCAAACTCAATTTTGCGAAATATGCTCTGGTCCGAAATGGCAGTCATCGAAAAATCGGCCCTGTCGTGAATGTGTTAATAGCTAGCTCATGCTTTAGCTTAGCCAACACATCGTAAAGTATGGAATATTCAATGGTTTTTGCTCTTAAACGAACAAATTTGTTTTTAGCATTGGCAAGATACATACCGCTCACAATTTGACAAAAAAAGTCGCGATGTGCCGGAGTTCACCGGAGAGCTGGATATGACGTCGCATTATCCTATCACGCTTCAAATTGGATGAATTCTGAAGCCAAGAACACCGTTCGACTCAGCTCGGAGAGACGCATCTTATGATTTATATACAGTAGGTTCGCGGTAAGCAGTCAGTTTCCAGCAATTCTGCTCAGTAGCTCAGTCAAAACATGAACAGTATTGTATCTTGATACCAACATTTTTATAGTAATAATACATTCGAATGCAGTGTAAGTGCGCTTTTCATACAAGTTTTTGAATGCTTGATTGCGAGAATTACTTTCTACGCGGGATACTATTACGGCTAAACTTTGCGTATAGCAGCAAATATTAATACAAAAGGTCTCAAAAGATAGTACTTGAATCTCGATTATTACTTGTATACTGCTCAAGAGGTGAGCTAACCCCGTGAACGCTGAATAACAGAAGCATACAATAGCGTCAATTATCATTAATGGCTTAAAACTCATGATTAGCACAAAATATTGCGAAAAGTTCCCTGAGAGTAGCTCTGAATGACATTTCTAAATTGAACATGCCCTCAACGTTCTCAGAAATTCCCTCAACGTCGATGTTAATCGAGTGTTGTTGTCACTGAAGATGTATTTAGGACGAATGTTATACTCAGGGTCAAGCGTGTTGATGTGATCCGGGACCCCCATTTACGACCCCCCCCCCCCCTTTAAAGGTACCCATCCGTAAAACCCCCGCCCCATCTACCCCCCCCCCTCTCCCCTCCCGCCCCCCATCTACCCCCCTTACTTCCGCCGCCCACATTCCTCGCTGCATAAACGAAAGTCAATCTTAAAAAAACACCTGCATAAGAACTTCAGTGAGGTTTCGGAAGCAAAATTTCTTTGCAATGGGTGCGCGCAGCATCTGTAGCACACATGCAAATCTTCGATAATGTTTGAGATTCTGCAAGTTTTTTTGAATTTTCAGGCATACTTCAGGCCAGCAAATTCGGTTCCCGTATGCGACACAAATTTTTGCACGCAGAAAGAAATGACATTCTTGAACTACAAAAGACGTTTTCAACTAAGGAAAGCTTACTCCCCACCTCTTGCACGGTTTTTCCTGCGAAAAAACCGCTTTAGCGCCACACGGAACGATGCCAAAAACGTGCATGAGCACGGTAGTTTGAAAATTCGTAACTAAGGCTAAAAAAAGACTGAGAGGCTGCAATGAACATGTTCTGTAGCATAGTGCCCAGACCATCAACAGAAAACGGTTCAGCCCTTGAGGAGCAGTGAGCTCGAAAAAATTTAGATGCGACTCTTGCAAATTTAGATGCGATCCTAAAAAGCAAAAACTGGGATTTTTGAGCTTAAAATTTTGTAACTTACCTGAGAAGTTATAAAACAGACTGCAATTTTTATGAGGCAAAGTAGGAGGATGGCCTCATATTGCAGCAAAATCGCAGCCAACAAGCTTAGATAGCTCCGAAAAAATTTAGATGCGATCCAGATAGCTCCCTTTTTTGATTTTTTGCTACTATACATAAAATCATAAGAAAATACACAGTTTACAAAACAACACAGATTTCGCATAGTAATAGCAGGGCTTGTCCAAAGTACATATAAATTGTAAGGGCCGTATAATTGGCATTACAAAAGATTTGCGAATTATTGATTGTCATCGTTGATTAGATGTGCGCTTTTGTCGAGTGTGTGAGACTTTAGTGATGCTTCGGAACCGGGATTCCTAAGCCAATTGGTACATTTGACATTCTTGTCACACGCGCATAAATAGTGTTTGAGCTTCTGAAAGTGTCTTTGGAGTCTTCGGTACTTGTGGCCAGCAAGTTCGATCCCCGTCTGCGACACCTTTTTTGCAGGGAGAAAAATGTTTTTTGAAAACTAGAGAATGTTTACGACTAAGAAGCTTATTTCCTACATTCCACACTTTTTTATTTTGGACTACCCTCTCTTACGACCCCTCCCCCCCCCCCCCCCCGCCGCCGGTGCCCCCTTACGACCCACCCCCTTGCGACAGTCGCATCACACGCTTGACCCCGGTCATAACAGGGACTGTCGCACTTTGAATAATTTTGTGCTAATTCAACACTCTTTTTTGATGCGGCGCCTTTCGTAGCACTGCAACAGAGCGAATTTTATATAGAGCGTTCAATATATTCTATTTATACTTTCTTTCTTTACTGTTTCCCATACCTTAATGCGATTCGAGATGCAAAAAAAGACGTGGAAATAAGTCATCTCATAGATTACGCTAACTTCACGCGTACAAGATGCATCTTTTGCGGTTTTTCAACCGAACCGCTCAGCCTGCTCATTGTGTTTTGAAAAACGAGACTTATGTCGCACGATGCTCTCTGACAATATACAGTACTGTAAATAGTTTTATGGTCGCGAAGTCCTTCGGCGTATCTGTGCTGTGCGATTTTAGAAAAATCCTCCGCTTCCTATACGCATGAAATTAGGGTAATTCCATATCAATATATGCTGTCAAATGAGCGAGACAAATTGCAACAATGTTCAAATCAGTTCACAGGCAATAATATACACAACACTATCAAAACATATGACTACTAAAAAATTAAATAAAAAGTTAGATTCGGAAACAAATGAGAACGCAGAAAATATAGTAACTTGTCTTTATGAAAATGACCGACCGTTGTAGTACACGCCAGCTGCCAAACGTGTAGTGTACAAAATTGAACTGTGAAGCCCGATTTAGAGATTTGCAAGAAATCCTTACTATAATATACACTGGAACCTTCCAAGCGCGACGGCAGAGTTTTCTGCGTCCCTCCTATCCTTAACCCCAGCATGCAGGAGGGTCCGGTTGCTGAAGGATTCCAGAAAAAGGAATGTGAAAATATAACTGCGCTCAATGATGATGGGAGGAGAGGCCAGTAGCCATTATGTCAGCGAGAGATTTGCTTGCACTATGGGTCCCGAGGCGGAGCGGAGATTTTTCACTTTTGAGCTAAGCGGCTAAAAATTGGCGTAGGGGTGTATGTGTACATGCCGATCACAAAACCATTTGATTTCAGAAGTATCGATTACCTATCGCCACCTTTATCGATTTTGATGCTGCACTTGCTGTGTGTTGAAATAGCGATGTGCCATGGCAGCTGAAAGGTTCTGTACGGAATCGCTCCAGCTATCGATCTCACTTTCGTTGATTCCACTCGCAAGACGAGCTTGCAGTTTTGACATCACTTAACAGCTTTCTGTCACCCTCATTCTACACATATCGTCTGTTTAGCCTCATTCTGGAAATTTCATATTCCTTTCACACACAAGTTCTAGGAGAACTATGGAAAACTCTTTCGAAGCTTGGGGTAAAATTTGTGAAAAAATGAGCATTCCTGGAATTGTG